ATAATGGAAAACTGAAAGTGGAATGGTGAAATTGAGGAGGCGACAAACTAACCAAAACACGTGATGGGAACCAACATAGAAGACGGTCGCCCAGAAGGAAGGGAGAAGGTGGCGGTCGCCGAGGAGCGGCGGTAGAGTAACAATAATAGGAGGAGGCAACAACAACGTGGGGGTATGAACAAGGCTGGCAGAAAACAAGCCAGGCGGCGGCGACGGCGCGGGGAGAGAGACACATGGAGGAACAGACGAAAAGGTAGATTAAGAAACCTAAATATTTAAGGACTAAAATAAAAAATAAAAAACAGTAACCGAAAACCGGGAAACATGCACAACTGCCTCTCCTTACACCACATGTCGAATGCGGAGGCGGCGAAAAAATCCCTCATCTCACGATGACGCGACACTTGTTGCGCTAAGACTCTATGCGAACTGACCTCCACAAGATATCCCTTAACTGATGATTTCACATATAGACAAAAAAAGAATCTACACTTTTTTGAGTAAAAAAGAAAAGAAAAATCAACTCAACACCGGGACCCTGGAATTGACGATAACCAGGCCCATGGCCCACCGTAAGCTCCACTCGAAATCCATGAGTTACGCTACGCCCCTTGTGTATTTCGTTAAACTTTCATGTTAATCAATAAAGGGTCCTTTCTAGCTAAGAAAATAAGCAACTTCACACACTATGTGTACTAGTGAATTTGGCTAACATTTGTCTCAACTTGCTTATTATGACTGCTCAATTGCCTACCGTTGATGCTCAATTGTCTGTTATTGCTAGTTAGTTGCCTACTATTGATGTTCAGTTGCCCAACATTTTTAGTTAGTTGCCTATAAATATTGTGAAAACACCTATCATTGTTTTCCTAAGTTGCCTATAAACACTATGAAATTGCCTACTAAACTTCTAAGTTGCTTACCGTTTGCTAATGAGTTGTCTAAAATATTGTTGCCTGCGGCTACTACAGAAGTTATCTATCGTGGTTCCAAAGTTGCCTTGAAAGCAAAGTTGTCTATAACATTATAAAGTTGCCTACCAGTGGTGCTCAATTGTCTGTTGTATTGTCAAAAATTGTCTATAATGGTTCTCAACTTGCCTACGATACTATAAAATATTGTAAGACAACTTGAAATGATGTTGATACTCACTAGTCATAGTTGGTAAGTTAGGACAACATCAGAAAACTTGCCAATCATGGTAGGCAACGTAGGACAACTTTAGGCAATTTGAGCTCACTGTGATGGACAACTTTCAGCCATGAGGGCACCGTTGGGCTTTGAACCCGCTTGATCCCGACCGACGAGCCACAAGGTCTTGGCCCCATAGCACTCTGCTTCATTGGCTCACAATGCAGCTTTGTCTCCTATGGCGCTACTTATATTCCGGATAAGTTGGCGTCTCTTCTAACAACCATGGCGTACAACGGCGATGGTTGGTTGTTTTGTTTTTAGGATCTTATAAGAGTTTCTTTGCATTTTATGGTTTCTTCATGCAAAGTATTGTACCGTCTGTATTCTGGATACCTCTTTAATCGTGGTACATGTGGGAATGTAATTCTGCTTACGAGTCATGTATGAATGACACGTGGTTTATAGGAAGAAAAAAACTCGGCAAAACCAGAAGTCTGGAATTAACGATAACCAGACCATCGGTTTCGCCACGCCCCACCGTTTTCGCGTCTTCCCCCCTCTCTCTCCCTCAGGCCGCGATGGCGCCGTCGGGCTCGAACCCGCTGGAGCCCGTCTTCCAGACCGTCGCCGCCTTCTCCCGCCGCCTCCTCATCGCCCCCGACACCGCACCCGACGACCACCGCCTCCGCCCCCTCCTCTCCCTCTCCCTCTCCCCGCCCGCGCCCCCGCCCCCGGCCCCGCCCCCGCCGCCGGAGGTCCTCAAGGCAAGCTTTCTCTCGCCGCTTCCTCCCCGTTTCTCCGCATGGAGGGGCTACTCCTAAGGTGTTCGGGTGAATGCGCAGCAGAAGGATGCGAAGGTGGCGCCCCTGACGAAGGAGGAGGTCGGCCGGGCCACGTGGATGCTGCTCCACACCATCGCCGCGCAGGTGCTCCGTCTTCACTGGCTCTGTCAGTAGCACACCAATGTTCAGCAATTGCCCGAAGCTACTAGTCTTGTTCATTTAGCAGCATATCATGGGCCGTCAATGTGGATGGTCCATGGATTATTATGCATTTTGCGTTTATTGATCAATTTACTTGTGGATAAGGCAACGAGTTGTTCGAAGCATCGATGCTTTAAATCCATTTGCTGCCAGCTTACTGTGTTTTGTTTACCCATGCTTCAGTTTCCTGATGAACCAACCAGGCAGCAGAAACGCGATGCGAAAGAGCTGGTAAGCAGGACAGGGAATTCGACTACATTTCTTTACATTTGGGGGTGATGCATAGGTGTATTGTATGGCATAATGTGCATATCTTGCGGAATTGCGGTCTTGGAAGATGCATGAGCACTTTGCAGGCACTAGTTATTTACTGTCTATGGCTAAGAAGAACATTCCAATTCAGACATCGATGCTTTTATTATATACATAGGCTTAGCTTAGATCCGCCCATGCTTTGATTAGATAACCTGTAACGGATTCATCGAAAGCAATGCTTGTTTTATTCTTCTATTTACTAAAATAGATGTGAGACTGTTACTTGATAAAATTCAGGCACAACGAGTTTCACAGATTGAGTATTGCTATGACAAAACTACTGGGACATGCTATATTATAGACTTACCGATAACTTTTCTGTTCATTTCTAATAAGTTCTGAGCTTACAATTTTTTTGTAAGTAAGTCTTCCACTGGGTTTATCATTACTCTGAATTATTATCATGTTATACGAGTGACTATTGACTGCCACTTAATCTATCTGGAATATCAGTAGAAATTAGTTTGTTCAATTTCTTGTTTTCTCTCTTCAGGAAGATTTCCCTGACACGCATCTCATTTTAACTTTTGCTTGTCTTTTGGGTCCATGTACAAAGATAACATTTCTGCCTGTTTTCATATTCAGATGGCTTTACTTTCTAGAATTTATCCTTGCAAAGAGTGCGCTGATCACTTCAAGGAAGTTTTGAAGTAAGCAATGCTCTCTGTCCTCTTGTATAAATTATTATTTCCTTTTAAGTGGTTTGATACTTGAGATGCCTTTGAACGCTACAGGCTTATATCTTGCTGAAATGTTGGTATTTGATAGTTATCAAGGAATCGTTCTTTGACCTTTTACTTCTATATATGATTAGTTATTACTTTTGCAACATGAACCTATGCGTATAGTGTCAGATTACCAAATTTATATACATGCACTTGTCTGGCACAATCTGCAACATTTTATGATTAAACTTTCCACATCTGCTCGGTTCTTCACAGAAACCAAGTGATAACTGACAAGGGTCATATAGATATAACAATTGAGCATGATGATTCAATGGCTATTTATGTGTACCAATTGCTAATATGTGGCTCAGGTGAATTGCTGGCCATTTGGGTTCTTGAAAGCTTGCTTAGATTAGAACACTTCATTGTTGTGGTGTAATATGTTCAAACCATGTGATCAGGTTGTCCAGTTGTTGTTACTCGATCACCTTTTTGTGTTATGTCAACATAATGGCAAATAGGCTGTTCTCTTGGAACAATGTTAAACTGACTTCATTGTGATCTTATTTTCAGAGCAAATCCTGTGCAGGCAGGATCCCAGGCTGAATTCTCTCAGTGGTTATGCTATGTGCACAATGTGGTTAATCGAAGGTAAGTCCATACGAGCAACTTTGTAATGTTTACTCGGTGGTCCCTTGGAAAACCATCAAGGTAATTGTAGTTATAAATGTGTTTCCGTTGTCACTAGAAAGATACGGTCTCCAGGCCAAAAAGAGGAAAACTGAAGCAGTGTATCGTTTTGGTTCCCTTTTATTACGATAAACAGATGTTCTCATTCATCACATCATATCATGATTTTACAGAATATGAAGCCGTCCACCGACGGGACCATTCTTGTGAGCTGCTCACCTGAGCGTATTGTGGTTGTGTTTTGCAGCCTTGGAAAAACAATATTTCCCTGCCAGAGAGTAAATGCACGGTGGGGCAAGCTGGATTGCCCGGATCGCGCGTGCGACCTAGAAGGCTCCAACGACATCATGCCGAACCGATGACACTGCCCAGAAACCTTATAAAATCTCCGCGCCAGTAACAAATTTGAACCACCATTGGATGGGCAATACCAGGAGGATAAGGGAAGATAATTCAGGGCAATACCGGTGTATTATTATTGTTTACCTCCTCCATCCTCTATCCCTGGCAAATGTAATACTAGTATATGTCATCCGAACCTGCCCCTTGATGCTGCGGTCCTGTACAGTACAGTTTCGACATCTTTACGATGATGAAACATCCTATGATCTGTAAAGGTTTTGGGGGTGAAGTTGTATCAGTTGCACCGATTTACTGCTCTCTGAAGTCTGAACTCTGATGCTTTTTTCAACTCCCCTATCTTTCAAACGTTACAGGTTTCTGTGCACCCTCTATCACCGAAAACCCTGGAAATGGGACACGTTCTGTTCATGAGATTGCATAGGATAATTTGTGGGAAAAGGAGGCGGCAAATGCGTGGATCGCTACTGATATGGTAGTAGTATATTCAGAGGCAGCAAGACCTGCAAGAGCTTGGCAGTCAATGACAAAGCAGGCCCGGCGGAGGAATGCATGGAGGCCACCTTCCTCGCTTTGCCGGCCATTTTTCCTGCACCGCCTGCCTCCTCGGTGTTGCCGAGACATAAATTCTGCCGTGTTATCGCGCCATTTCTTTAATCCCATGCTGACACCTACGAGCGATGCACATGCGGAGGTTGCATCACCCGTTGCACTGCATGTCTTTATCTTGCAGCCAGGAGACGGTCTCAAGGAAGCAAACCAGAAGAACCAACGCCGGTGCTGAAGCCTGAAGCTCAAGCGTCTCACCTTGTGAGCTTCTCAGGGGACCTTGCAAGCGGTGGAGAGAGCGATGGCGATGAAGCGCCGCTCCGTGCTGGCTTTGCTCGTCGTCGCCTTCGTCGGAGGGAACCTGCTCCTCGGGGCCTCGTTTAGCGCCAGAAGCACGGTGAAGTCCTCAGCCTCAGGTACGCACGCAATGAAAACTGCCTCTGTTTGCTCTTCTCTCTCTTGCCCTCTTGCCCTCTTGTCACTTATAGTTGTTCAGGTGAATCCTGTTCCGTTTCCTCTGCCCCGTTTGGTTTAGAGAGAAAAGCGTAGATATCTTTAGCAGCTAGTGTCCAGTGTTGGCGCTTGGTTCGATCTTTAAAAAGATTGTGGATGCGAGGTGGTGAAAGAAACTGCCGGTCCGACATGATAAAGCAAATCTGATAGTTATTAGTATATCTTTTTACTTTGGGTCTTCTTTCGCTCTCTTTCTGACGAGTGGGTCCTCTTCTCTGCAACTGCGTACAACTTGAAGGAAATGTTTGGTAGGAAACTAAGCGAGGTTCCCAAAGTTATCTGCATAGCTCCAATAGACTGTTAGATTCCGTTACGTTTGCATGGGTTGGTGCTGGTTTCTTCAGTTCTCACCATGTAGGTTCAGCAGCTACTTAGTTTCAGTAGGGAATATATGGCCTATGGCTTGACATCTTAACTGCAATCAATGCAGACCCGGACTATGGAACTGCTGAGCTAAACGGCAGGAGACTAAAGGTGTGCATTCTCAGACATAACCTGTAAAAGTGTTATACATTTCACAGAGCAGCATAATATACAAACACCACATATACCCTCTACTTCACATAATTTTCCTAATGAAAATTTGTTTTTGTTCAGTATAGCTTCTATAAACTCCGAAGGAAGATTACCTAAGTCATGTTCCTTGTATACCTTTTCCAGGAAAGTGGACAAGATGTTACTAACAGGAAGACTAGGGACTTACAAGATGTAAAGGCTGATGACTACCAACCTATTGACCCAAGTCCAAGCTCGAAGGCAAGTATCAGGCCAGCTCCAATCGAGCATGGCACTCCTCTTCTTCCTTATGTGCCACGGTACCCGCCGCCTCCTGGTCAGCCTAAGGATGCGCATTCTGCTCAGTCTGCTGCCGCTCCTGTCGCTTAGCTGAGAACTGAAATGCTCCAGAGGCGGTACTTGAAAAATTAGAGAACCACCTTATGTCCAAAGTCTTCTCTGATGTTATGTTATGTGGCGTATGTGTGTTTACACTAAGTACTTGAATGGTGCATGTCCTTTGATGTCTCAGTGTTTGGAATCACTTGGTGATGGACAGTGTTAGCTGTATCTGTGGGTGGTCAATTAGTCAACTGCTCAAATCTTGACGGCATGTTTCTAGATTAGATAAGGTGCCGGCATTATTCTGGGGCACCCAGGTAAGCTGCACTACTATTGTCATATGTAAATGTTATTGTTATGTTATATAGCATAACTATGGTATTAGTCAGAACTGTTTACTGAATTCTTGTGTAACCTTTGTGCTTGGTTGAAGCAATTATCCAATTTTCAGAAAACTATCAGTATTGGAATACCTATTTCCAGTGTGAATCATTGAGCAGGAGTAATTCACTAATCTAAGCCTCTTAGAAGGTCCGGTTTGGAACGCAAGAAATTTTCTGGGTTCCAGATTGAACTATTTCCTATGAAATTATGTTGTCCCAAACATTCCCCCAAAAATTTATTCATCCACTTCTTCCGTCAGCCACCTGTAAAGATGGTGGATTTGACAACCTACTGAAGGTGGTATTGTCAAACCAGGTTCCACAATTAATAAAAGTTGATACTTAAGCTCTAAGTGTTTCTCGTATGGGTATTCTCACATTTGAGAATCATGCAATAAAGGTTTTCTAAGTATGGAACCCTCTAGTTTTGGTCGGTATGATGAGAAGGATGGCTAGTTAGTCCATGTCATTTCCAAAGACACTTTTCTGAATACAATAGTCAAAAATATACAAACATGTACTGGTTACATTTTGCACAATCACCTACCTTTACCATACCCCTTGTATGTATTCTGTGACATCCTATTGAGCACATGCTGATTCTTTTATTCTTGATTTGCCTTAGAAACTAAGGATCATGTGTTAATCGGCAAACAAAGCATGCCACCTATCTGTACTGTCTTGGCAACTTCCTGCAAGCGTGTGTTCAATTGTATAGCATATTTGACTTGGTGATGGTACAGTTAAGCTGCAGTTTAGTTATTGTGAGTATGCAGCTGCAAAATTGGCAACAAAACTTAGTTTGTCAAATCAAATTTACACCTGTCAATTCCTTACAGTGTCATTTTGCCGACATCGGAGAAGGAGGAATATAGCATGGTTTCTTCTTTAGTAAAAGATGATATAATGCTGACATATAATGTTAGATTATCTATTGATGTTATCTATCAATTCTGCAGAGCTGGTTGTTGGGATTTCCAGGATTGCTTTCAACTTAAGTTCAGACAAGCAGAACAAACTAATGGTGATTGACTGATGGTTCCCCTTATACCGGTCTCTTCCTTTCAAGCTTTGTTCATCTGTCCCACTGACACAAAGAGATGTCACAATATCATATGATCTATTATATGATACATGTCACTGTTTTTGTCTCGCGGTCTAATATTTGTCAAAAGTAAATTTGACCACAAAAATCTTCTTGAAATTAACTTGGTTGCCAAAGGCACATGTTCTGTTACATTAAGAATGCGTGCTCTAGATCAAAAGCAAGAAGAACTAAACATGCACATTACCTGCCAGGGCACATCCTGTTCATAATCTTATTAAAAAAATACCAATGTTGATTCACACGCAGAGAAAAGAATCAATATGTCATCAGCAACTTGGATAAGCTAGAGTGAATGAGACCTAATCACCAAGCAACACTAGCAACAACCTTGATTACTATCATGACTTCATGAGTCATGACATGCATGTTCCTTCTGCTTCAAGGTATAATCCCATCACAGAGTTCTAGTTAAAGTCCACATACACAATGTATCCACCACTAGGGATCTTTTTACAAGAAACTACTCATGCATGCATCCTTTTTATCTACATAGGCAGTGAGCTTCAATTACCTCTCCACTGGCAGCCTTCAACTATTATCACTTTGAGTCTGAGTGACCAAATTATGCCCATTAGGTGACACCTACTTTCAGTGATAGGCCTATTACTGCAAACAGCCTAGCTAACAAGCTTTTGTAGTGGACAATAATTGTGGTTGAGTACCGGTGTTAAGACTCAGCAATCACAAAAATCGCCCTTTGCTGACACCTTAGCTGCTAATGGTGACGCATTGTGAGACTTGGAGCGAAAACCGATGGTGTTGTTTCTTTCAACAGTATTCCTGACCCAACAGATACAGTGACAGAAGTTGTTCAGAAGATGTTGAGTTTGCGATGACATTTTTCCAAACCATCGGTTCGCAGCGGTACAAATATCGTAATCGGAAACGGACATTTCAAAGCGGCGTATATCTGAATTTACCTTTGGGAAATAGTCATGCGCCTATCCCCTTCTGTCATCTGACACAACCTTTCCTGAATCATTCTTCCAAATACATGACATTGTGCTGCAACTGAAGTCAAATCACGTTTATTTTCGAAACCGTTATGTTTCCCTTTTTTTCTTCTTATTTTGTACTATATCTTAATATGTACATGTACCCATCCATATCCTTCATGGCCGATAATTCCAATATCAGTACCATCGTCTTGCTGAATATGTGGATGATCTCCATGGTGTATATGCTACTCTCGAAACTAATAGTACCAAATATATTTCCGGTAAGCTTATTACAGATGACAGGGATGCTTATTTTGTTTTCTTGGCCCAACAAGAAGCATCTGTCTCATGGAAGGTAAGGGTTGCATTGCCCCGCCCCGTTTATGAGAGCTTTAAAAGAGGAAAGTGTGATTCCACTTTGACAAATTCTCAAGTCTCGAATGAGAATAGATTCTAAAACAAGCCAAAATGCTGCTTTTCCTGAGCCTTATTTGAAGCAACTGCATCTTAGCATTCTCTGAGTGTTTCATTCCCCGGTCCAAGCAAAGTTATGCTGAAGCCTAAAGAACGGAAACTTCCTTTCCAGGAACTGAATCAGCCGATCAAAATAAATTGCAGCACTGAATCCCAAGCTTGTGAAACTGAAACCTCACTCTGATGTTACATTCAAATGGCACTTACGCTCATATCCTCTGCACCAAGCATGGAACATGACAAGTGCAAGCAAGGACAACTGGCCACTCAGAGCAAGAATGATGACCTGCCACAACTCATGGACAAAGACAATTTGGCTGAATTCAAACAATTTTGGGACCATTCAAATTATATACGGAGACGTAAGCGGATTAAGCGGTCGAGCTCTCGGCGCACGCTTAGCTGTCTCATTGCACGCCGTGTGATGCTCGCTCCTTATCTGAAAGCCGGGGAGCAACCGTCCGAGTCACGCTGCGTTGATGCAAAGGCATAGGCATGATAGACAATTATGCCTGCCATGCCCCGGGTTTAGCCCAGTTGAGCCCCTATTCTTTTGGCAGTAGTCAGTGCTAAGTCATGTGCTCTTGAGCGATACTCATGCCTTCCCCTCTCTCTGCTTTCCCTGGATGCTTCCTCTGCTTTGATGGCGCGAACCTGTGAGCTCTTTTCTCTTTTTTCTCTCTGATGAACAACAATCCTGTGAGCTCTGATTTTTGCCTAACCGCTCACTCATCAGTGCTAGTACTCCTGCATCAGACTTACATGTCCCTTCCCGATTTTCTCTCTGAAGGTACTTATACAGTGCGATTGTACCATTTTGGTGCAGTAAGCAGCAACTGGTTAGTGCGGTACGATCAAACTTAACTTACGGGCTACTGCCACTTAACCACTAGCTAGCCAGTGCTGCACGAGATGTGTAAACGCCAAATGCTAATCAATGCCGTAATGCATGGTCCTGTAGCTACATTTGGCTGCTTTCTTCGGCATCCACTGTTCCACTATGCTGAACCTGCACTAGTTAGTTCAAAGCCACTGAACAGTAACACTGCCGCAGCTAGTTAAAAGCCACTGAACAGTAACGCTGCCGCAGTTAGTTAAAAGCCACTGAACAGTAACACTGCCGTGACTTGATAGCACCTCCATTTCCAGTCCTCTAATCAATACTCACTGCATCAGAAAACAGCAATGTGTACCACTACTAGGAACCTTCTTCACCAGCTAGCCAGTAGCCAGTGGCCAGTACAAAAGCGTCCAGCTCTACTAAGATTCTGCCGCTTTATACTGTGTCGAAGTGGAGCAGCGGTCAGATACCGGGCACCTTTGTACACACATGTGCACATGCATCAGCACATCAGCACATGGCCAAAATGCTAACGTGATATATTCACCCACAGATACACAGACTAACCAATGATTAATCGGCGCTGATGAGGGCGAGAACATATGTCTTTGGGAAAGCCGATGCACTGTTCCAATCTGTAAATTAAAGAAGACACGGCACAGCAGTGTGCCCCATGAGGCTGAGCCATGACTGACTGATTAAAAAGCACATGTATATGAGGAAAAAATAATATGGGAGCAGATCCTCCTTAGAAGCAAAGGGGGGAGGAGGACAAGGAAAGGTATGTTATGTATGCAGACTTGCAGAGGGGGGAGGGAACTGAGTGCCTCAGTGGGGGCCTGACGAAGCTTAATTTGCAGGCAAATAACAGCCGCTTTTAAGGGCCCTCGACCTGCCTGCTCGCTGGGTTTTGGAGCCTAGTATCTTGTTAGGATGAGCCCAAGAGCTTCTGCTCGTCTCTGAGAGGGAGGCATCAGGCAGGCAGGCAGGCCGGATTTCGTCTGAAGAATATTAAGCTTCTCGTCCGCATTGCGCTTCCAACTCAGGTACCACTGAAACCCATGCAACCTTTGGAAATTCAGGCTCGTTCTTCCTTACTGTAATGGCAGTTTTGCTTAGTCTCGTTTTCGATCGGTTTTGTTTGGAATCTTGAAATTTTCCATCACGTTCTTTTTCTCTTATGTTGCATACCGTTCGCCATTGCTGCATCTGCTGTTACTTTTTCTCTGATCGAAGTTGGGTCGTAGCTTAGCTTGTGAAATGGAGTCATGCACTGCATTTCACAACTTCAGTTACACGCTGTC